AGCCCCCCGCCCCCTCTTCTTCAGGAGAGCTGGCGGGCGGGCGGGGGGGTACAACATGACGGATTTTTTTTACCTGAACAAAAAACGATTAAGACTATGTCGCTTGTCTCTTTGAGATTGTCATTGTTATTGTTCTAAATAAAGTTCATATTAAAGAAAAAAAAAAAAAAAAAAAAAAAAAAAAAAAGTAAATGGAAGTGAAATTTGATGAAGCGGGAATAAAGCCCACATTGCAGTGCTAAAAGCCAGCTAGGAGACCAGATGAAGGTAATCTGGATTGGAAACGCAAACTGAATCCAGAAATATGTAATTTTTTTCCTTTTTTTTGTTTTTAAACATCAAGTCTGATAAAGGTTACGTGGTCACTTCAGAGTCCTCGTCTCAGATCACTTTTTAAGTTAATCCCTGTGGGGTGCAGATAGGAGGCTACAGGTAAAGTCATTCGGGCGTCTCATTAAAATGAATTGCAGGTCGCCTCAAACACCGGTGCCTCCTCTGCGTGTCCGTTAACCCCCATCTTCTGACCCCTGCTGGTCAGCGCCCTCATTAGCATCGAGACTGTAACTGCAGCGTTATGTTGACGTGAGTTTTAGCCACCTCATGAGGTGTTTTATTACGTGCGTGTCTACATGTAGATGTATATAGAGCTACGAGAAGGGAGCAGGTCATTTAATGTCTTTTAAGGAGTTAATTCCTTAAACAAATCCTCTAGATTCATCGTCGTCGTCTGCTTTCCGCTCTTCTCCCCATCTATTCCTTCGCTTTATGCTCCGTCTCCTCTCTCACGTAATTGAGTTCAAGAGCATGATCAGCCTTTACTTCCTCTCATTTTTCCATCTTTTCTCCTGTTCTGTTGCTAATGTATCCATTTTAGCAACAGCTCAGGTGGAGAAAAAGAAAAAACAAAGATCCACATCTACTAATCGATGAACATTCCTGCCTCAAGACTGGCCAGACGGTCCCATCAGAATGTTAGTCAGTAGGTGGGAAGAGATGAGGCGGAGGGCTGCAGAGAGCCGGAGGAGTTTGAGCGTCTCATGTGAGGGAGGAGGTAGGTGTCTGAGCACAGCTGGTGAACGTCGTACCTATCCTCCTTGCGATAGGCCAGACAGCGGCGGATAAACGCCTGCAGAGCACAAAAGAGCACAAATTAAAATGATAGGAGACATATGCTACTCTACCTTTTGTTACTGTTTGCCACTAATTTAGATCCTATTTATGGAAAGGCAATATTATCAGCTGCTTCTCCAGTAAGTCTCTCACAGGTGAACTGCGGGTGGCTGGGTATTCTTATTCTGCTTTTAACATTTCTCCACCAGCTATAGGCTCTCATTTGAGTGTCACTCCAGCTTGCAGCAAATTTTCAGGCCAGAACACAGACTACTGTCAGCTACTTCAGCTCTGAAATTTGTAGTCGGAGTCTAGTGTAGGACGAGATCCTCTCTGGAGAAACAGCTGAATGATATCAGGGTAGGAAACAAGACGTGATAAAGGAAGGGGCGTAGCTAGCAGCTAGCTAAAGAAATACTAAAATGAATCATGTGTGTCTGGCTGTCCCACCCAACTAAAGTCGAGGAATAGGAAACTACTGGTTGCAGCTGACTCAGATGAACGAACATGTGTCAACGTGTCGCTGGACTGCCAAACTAAATCTCTGTTAATTATTAACACATTAGTGTGCAGCTGTAGCCAAAACTGCAACACAAGTCTCACCCTGCTTACGCTTAAAAAAACGAAAAAATCATCTTGAAATGTGAGAAACTAAAACCAGTGAACTTTTCTGATTTCTTTCACACCACAGACAAATAGGTCATTACATTTGTGTTAAAATAATATAGAAGTTTATCTCTTCAACTACACAAGGTTTGCCTCGATTTAATATCTCTAAATTTCGCCAGATGTGATTATTTACTGATGGACTGTTTCATGTCACTTTGGGTTTTACAGGATTTTGCATTACTGTCAAACAGCAGATCCATTTGTCAGGTATTGAATTACCTGGGCCCAAAACAGACGTCCCAGCATGGTTATTAAATCTATGGATATTCCTTTTAGTTGGGTGTAAAATATAGAAGATTTTATCCACAGCGCCCTCTATTAACTCACCATTAAGATGCTATGTGGTTAAAGGGCATTAGGAGATGCCATTTACAGGCTACTTTTCAGTCCCGAGTTTCAGCTTTATTGCATTAATGTTGAAATATTGCATCACTATGAACATAATGTTCGTGCAATTTGAGATATCGAGCAACAGGAGTAAAACTAAGCGCAAGCAGCATCCATTTTATAGCAGCTGTATCAATAAAGGTGACGTAAATGCCCTCGTGTGTCTGTAAACGTGTCTGTGTGTGCGTTACCTTTGCCTCTGTGCTGGCCTGTGGTTTCGCTGGGAACTGGACCTCTGTGGCTTTGAGGATGGTGTTTTCCTGGAGGATGTCCTGCTGTGACTGATTGTGACCAAACGGCTGTAAAAACAAAACACAAGATTCAAATTCAAAATGTTCATGTCACTTCATCTGACATTGGATGTTGTGGTGCATGGTGTTACGATGCGGCACCTTGCGTCCATAGAGGCACTGGAAGAAGATCACTCCCACAGACCAGACATCCACCTTATTGGAGATCTTAGGTGGTTCCTTCCCCACCACAAAGCACTCTGGAGGAAGGTACCTAAATACAAGATTAAGCGAACAGATTTTTAAAAAAAGGACATTGGCTATCAGATTAGAACTATATGACATTATCTTTAAAAAACTGAATTGAGCTGCTTCCATACGCGGGCAGGTCGGTAGAGGTGTGATCTCTCCTGGCACAATCTACACACTCAGACATACCACAACTACACACTTGCATACAGAGCACCAGCTGTTCGACAAGAGGCCAAAATTTGGGGCTTTGTGCATTTGTTTTGTGCTGAAAATTTATAAAACTATACGCTCTGACTTACAGAGGACTAAAAGTGCTAAAATGAATTTTCAATTTGTCTCATTAATCTCGACCAAACCAATTTGCTCAGGAAGACAAAACAGTAAAATCAATAAGACATCACTAGTCAGTTAGAACATAGGATAATTATATAACCATTCACTGAGTGGTGAGGGTCAACAGGGGTTTTGAAAATTGTGTGCCTGGAGCAGGCTTTCCTTAGTGGGTACGATGCATTTTGATCATTCGGTCAGTTAATAGCTGGCTTTCGCAATGCATTCTGGGATACCTGATGGTCCACATCACCACTCCCATCAGTCCATTAGTTGAGACATATGCAAGGTAACCAATCAGACGTTGACGAGCTGTAGCGACAGTTTAAACGATTTCATGCTGCACTGCAGCACACGAATCAGGAAATAATTACAGTGAAATACTTCAATGTTTTTAGATAATAAACAAATATTTTCAATAATTATTGATAAATTTATTTATGATCTATTTATTTCCTTACTTTCAATTGAAATTCATTTCTGACACATTTACATAAATAAATACATCTGTGAATAATTATTTCGGCACTTTTAGCCCTCCACTGTTTCCTTCTATGCGATAGCATGCTGCATGTGACATCTTTGTTATTGTTCTTCTCATGTGGGTAAGTTCAGGACTGTAACCTGTGCAGATCCATACTTGACTCTATACCTACCATATTTCAGTCACAATTCACCGTACAGCTTATTAGTAGCGCAGAGACACAATTTATACACGACATACGCCCACAGATTTAGTGCGCTGTCTCTTTCAGGTAATCTGCAATCATGGGTTTAACCTGTCTGTCAGTCTGGGAAGAGTATTAGCGTGTGTGTGTGTGTGTGTTACCAGTAGGTGCCCGCTCCCTGTGATGTGAGATCCATGCCATCAACACCATAGTTGTCATCGTCCATTATCTTGGACAGGCCAAAGTCTGTGATTTTGATTTCTCCACATGCTGTACCATCCACCAGCAAGATGTTACCTAATTGCCACAAACGCAGGAGATTCAGTAAGTGTTTAACAATCAGATATCCTGCTTTAACAGTGAAACACTAAAAATCGTTAGAGGAACAACAATTGACTTTGATTTCATGTCAAACAGGAGACTAACCAGGTTTCAGGTCGTAGTGGATGATGGGGGGTTTGATTTCATTGAGGTAGCGCAACGCGCTGACAATTTGCATGACAATGGAGCGTGCCTCTTTCTCTGACATTAGCTTGTTTTGTTTCAGGTAGAAGTCCAGGTCATTTCCTTCACAGAACTCCAACACCGTGCAGAACCTAACAAAGACACATGCACATGGTTACATACCGAGGAAAACAAACAAAAAAAAAACGATGAACAAACAAGACGAGAACAGTCTTTGCAACTTCAGCTTGTCATCAGTTTAGTGATCCTTAAGTAGCTAGATACACTGATTAACCAGTATACCTTTCTCTCAGGAGATGGAAAGCCTAGAAGCTAAGAAGAGACATTTCCTTCCCCCATATGTAGGTCAGAGGTCAGGGTCAGGACTTTGTGCTATTTAATGAGACCGATCTCAGTTTCCAGCCATGTAAGCGAGCTGCTTAGTTATCCAAGGAACACTTTGCAAAGTCGGTACAATATGAGCAAGAGTAACCTCAGAAATATTTAAACTGTCTTTCTGGACAAACATATAATGCCCTCATTTAGGTATATGAGTCTGGCTGCCACTTCCTTTAAGCACCCTCCGAGTCTGGGTGACTACAGCTCATGTGCTGAGTTAACACCCACAGACAGAAGTTAAACCTTCAAAAAATAACATCCATTGTCAGAGCACGTTAACACTGAATCATACATTCCACTGTGATTTTCTAATCTGATACCACCCTGAACTGGAGCCTCGAGGCACAACACAAACAATTCATGCATTATTTGAATATTTACTGGGTTTGGTCTTTGAGAAGCTTCAACACTAACTAGTGTGCACCATGCTGGTTTACAGCCATTAGAAAAAAAGGTTTTTAACACAGTGCTAAGAGAGGCGCATCCTGAGGATATGTGAACCCAGCAGGGCAGCAGCTGGCAGATGTCACAGGTCACTCACGTGTCAGTATCCAGGGAAAAATAGTCATACAATTTGACTATTCTGGGATGGTCCAGCTGCTTGTGTATCCGGTACTCCCTGCATGCATGCCTAGAAGGGAAAATGTGTCAAAACAGCATGTGTAAATAGGGAAACATGTTGTCTTTGTGGACCTCAATTATTTTGTGTCTGTGGATGAGACCTACTTGTGGTAGTTCTCCTTTTTCTCCTCTCTCCAGTTCTTGTTGAGCTGGTGGATTTTAACAGCAGCATAGCGCTGCTCAAACAGGTCAAAGGCCTGCACGTGAAAGGAAAGCACACTCAGACATTTTGTCTGTAAACATACATACGCCCAAAGAGAAAACAGGAAAAGCGCAGTCCTTCCACAAAGACAATACCTTATAGACTTCACTGAAGCCGCCCCTGCCCAGCAGGTGCAACAGAAGGTACCTCTCATTCAGGGTGGGATGGTCTTTAAATCTGAGTGAGAAAGATGCTTAGTGAGCAAAAAAAATTAACACAGCATAAAAAAAATACTAACCATTCATACATTCAGGATGTTCTATTATATCATCTGCCTTGTGATACAGCAAGTTTCGGTGCCAATGAATGAGGAATTAACCTAATGAGTACACAGCTGCTCAAGGCAATCACCAACTTCTTTGTGATTTATATTCATTATGTGACCACTTGATGATTTTATTACACATTAATTTTGTTTTCATTCATCGGCTCTACTAAATGACCACTGTGGAAAATAATACTAACGCTCATCCACAGTCACGTCTTAACTGTCAGTAAACAAGATCCTTCAGCGGGGTTGCCGAGTACACTTACGCTGAGCTGTCCTCGTTGTTTATCCTCTTCAGCTCTCTGATATGAAGGTTCCTCACCCTCTCCAACCGCTCCAGCTCTGCTTGGATCTCTGCCTCCTCCTGGACAACCATGAAATTCAAACATTTTACAGTTTAAAAGCGTTTCACTCATAGTTATGGTCAAATTCTGCTTTCAGCAGAATTTTAACAATGTTTTCACAAACAGTTGGTTTATTAGCTGATGCTTTTCTTTTTTTTTTTTTTTTTAAAACACTCACCTTCTTCAGATGTCCAAGGCGGAGCTTAAAAATTTCTTCCTGCTCGTGGTACTCAGCGAGGGTCAGTCTGCCAAAACACAGAGAAATCGAATTTTCCTAATTCCAAATGACACCACTGCTAACCACGGCTTTCAGTAACTTTAAAAAAAGAAATATTCAAAAGTGAAAGTTAAAACTACCCATAGAAAACAATGAAGAGAAGTTTAGTATCATTCTCACAGACAGCATATACTTATTTCATTGTACTCACAGCTGGGGCAAGGAGGGTTTCAGGAAGGGGTCAGAATCGTTGCCGTTAACCACCTTCGTTTTGCGCTGCTTGGGCTCAGATGCGGAGGCCACAGAGAGGGAGGGAGCTGCAGGGTTTGGAGGCTTCCTCTTTGCCAGCAGCTTCCTTTGGCGCTCTATGTCCTCTCTCTGCTGGTTGATGCCCTCCTGCTGCCTGTGTAGAAAGAAAGGCACAAACAAGAAATGGATCATACGGCAAACACTAAGGCTGGATATAGACAACTCATCGCTGTTTATATTCTTGGCTGTGAAGTGAAGCTTGCACAGAAAAATCACTTGTGAAAAAAAATGGGTTTTTTTCCACAAAGAATCCAAACACAGTCAACTATAAATAATAGTTGACTGTGTTTGATTTAAAAACAAAACAAAAAACAACACATCACTTGATCAGGTTCTGGAATGCGTATCCGTCAGTCCACTGCTCCGTGTAGGATGCTCCGTGTCTGACGGTGGTGAAGTGGCCGAGACGGAGGCGATCCTGCATGCTCTTCTCGCGACATGACTGCTTCTCCTGAGTGCTCTGTGGGCAAAAACAAAAAACAGAACAAAAACAGGCAGGCACACAGTTAGAACAATGGCTCTGTTGTTGAAGTATCTTAGCTGAGGCTTGATACTGTTTTCAATTCAAGCTAAGGACTCTAGCAAAATATTGCAGTGATGAACCCTGATCAATTACCATGCAGACTAAAAGCAACGTTTAAATATTATGAAACAACACAACTCTGAACTAAGAGAGGTTGTTTAAACACCAAGTCCTTCCACCACTGTGATACTACATTTATCTCAGTGGAATCCAAATGAGAACAAGTGGCTGGTGAAGATGTTCAAAAACCTACCAACCGAAACACGCTTTTCTTTCTCTCAGCAGCTGTACAACCACAGCAAAGCTAAAACACCAGAGAACACTGGACTAAGAAATGTATTTTTCTTTAATGTCGTCACCTTTGCAAACAATAAGCTTCACGTTTACTCAGTAAACATTAGCTAATACATGGTAACACACTCCTGCATCATCTCCTCTTTCACATGTTAAAGAGAAACGATCAGCTTTAAATGTAGCATGTTGTTTTTTAGCCAAATGTATGTATGTGTATGAAAACACACCTTTTCTATGAGCAGCTTCTTGCTCATGGTGATGCACTTGTTGAGTCTCTCCTTGTATTTCTCCAGGAGTTTTTGCTGTTCATCAATCTGCCGTCGCAGGTCACAGTTAGCCTGTTAAAAAACAAAACAAAGAGGAACACAATGAAAGACTGTTTACATGTAATATAAACCTAGTGTGATTTTGAAAATCTTGGTCCACTACAATCATGCCTACTTGCCAATCAATCAACTGGACATGGCAACAAAAACCTTGACATATGGTCTAGATTATTTAAAATGATGCTAGCCAGCCAGACCAACAAGTTTAGTTTGGATCCATCTTCATGTAAACACTCAGTCAACATAAATGTTTTACAAGTCAGAGCCAGGCACTAAAGGCACTTCCTCTCCTTTGAAAGTAACCCTGAAGATTAAAGCATACTGGCCAACTGACTGATATGGAGACTACAGCCCCATGCGATCTGAACAGCCGTCCATCCTTCATTAACTGCTGATCAACACGGAGATCTAACTCACCCTGAGCAGGTCATCTATTCGCCCTTCTTTCTTTTCCAGGTCCAAACTTTTGTTGCTCTCCAGGGCAGCGAGTTTTAGGCCCGTCAGTTCAGTCTAAAAAAAGCCAAATAAACAGACACCAGTAAGAGACGACAACTGCCTGAATAAAAATTTAAAAAGAAGCAGAAGAAGAAGAAGGAAAAGGAAAAAAGCCTCATCATGTCAGTGTGTAATTCTTACCTGGACACATTTGCTTGAGGAAGCTTTGAGATTGTGCTCTCCAAAGCACAGACTAGTAGGTGAGGAGCTATTCTGCCGGATCTACGCACACAAAAGTTCTGTTATAAATATTAAATTTACAGACGTTTACTTGTACACAATGCCAATAATCAATCGAGTAAGTCTGATCCCTGAGCAAGACTTTTAGAGGACACATGCTTATTTGCAGCATCATATTGTTTTCTTAAAGTGTACTAGAGTAGCTTTGGAGAATTCACAGTGCTAAATAATCCTTATTTGGCTGACACTCGACTTTGGTGAAGCCCCAGTTCATCCCTCAAATACTCACGATGGAGCCTGGGGCAGAGTGTGAGTTCTGCGGAGAGCGGCGAACTGATGGGAGACCTCTGACTGGACTGGAACCATTTCCACCCTGGAACTTTGAACAGAGGATAAACTTAAGACTTAAGAAAGAGGTTCGAAATGATAAGAAGAAAGAGCAGTTTTTGTAATACTCACATCAAAATAGTCACTGATCTTGGGCCCACGTGTCGAGGTCTTTCCTGCAAAAACAGAACAAAACAGTTCAAATTCAATGTCAGCCATCAATAACCCCCCCGAATCATGCTGCTTTAACGCAGACATCCACCATACCTTGACTACTCTCTGAATAGGTATCAGCTTTCCTTTTTCTCCCTCTGGACGACTCAGAGTGCTTCTTCTCCGGAGTCTGTAAATAGATATGAAACAAAAAAGAAAAGCATGAATCCCCTGTGTTTTATCTAACAAGGCAGGATCTTGTGGTGGTGTTCAGCAGGAAAGAGCAGCAGGAAGGAAGAGTACATACTGAGTAGGCAGGAGAGCTCCCTCTTTTCAAATCAGAGTTCTAGAAAGAGAAAAGAGGGAGAGGTGGAGGTAGCAGGAGAGGCAGAAAAGAAAGAGTGGGCAGTGCAAGGAAAACACTACAATATGGCTATGCTTATAAGCACATATTACTGTGCATCTCTTTATTAAGTGGTGTAATATGCTCTGATTGTATGTGAGTTTCACCTCTGACTCTTTGTCACTAGATGATCCCAGACTTCCATAGCTGTGGTTAGAGGATTCATTAGCCAGACCCTATTCAGAGCAAGAATTCAAACACAGAGAACAAGAGAACAGTCAGCACAAGTCAGCTATTCAAGTTCTATAATGATCACTAAACGTAAACAGCAGTAAAACAAAAGCTGAAGGCAGGCGACGCGGCTGGCTCATCTGACAGGAATCTAGTCTCTGCAGTCCTAAGGTGTGTCACTTGGATCTCTTCCAAATCATGAACATTTCCAGGAATTATGACCTCCTTTTTAGGAAAACAGGAACTTTTTTGCCTGCTTTTCCACTAGCAGGAACACGTGTTTGATTTTTACTTCTGGGATTGTGACGTAGCGCTTTTTGGCAACTTCTGATCATGGTGGGAGTTAGCCATTGCTGCTTTAACTTCCGTAAAGCATGTTTTCTACAGCTAGCAAGTACCAATTGTCAACTAGATTGGATTGGCAGTTTTTTTTCCCTTACACACTCAAGCTAATTTCTCATGTAGCTCCTACAGTAGGGAAAAACAAAGGCATTTACAGCTCTGTAACGAGTCAAGAAACAAAGACACACAAAGGGAAATTTTCTGAAGAAGTTTTTGTGCACTAGCTAACTGTTTTTGAGCGAGACATATGAAAATGGAGGCTTTATTTATTTATCTCTTCTTCTGTACTGTGTTACCTTAGCACCGCCGCTCATGCTCCCAGTGCTGCCTCCCGTGTTGCCGCTGACAGCTCCTGTAAACCTGGCCTCCAGCAGCTCCTGTCTCCTGGGGTCCAGGCTGTGCAGCTCCTCCATTGGGCCTGGAATGACGACAAAAGCACAATACAGTGAGACGCTTATATTATCACCCATAATCGTGCTATACAGAATTAGAGCAGAACACACTGCTGTGGAAAAAAAAAAGAATAAAAATACCCAAAAGGAATAAAAACGAGCGCAGGAAAATACATAAGCCGACAGTATCAGGGATGGGATGAGGAAAAATTAGAAGGAGAATAAAAATAGAAAAATGCATTTCATTCGACTGGGAAGGAGGCAGCCCTTCAAAAGACGTGTTTGCAATATATATGCTGGAAATTACAGCAGCTGAGTGACACTGTAAGTACAAACAGAAAGCATGGAGGTCATTTTACACCTAGAGAAATGGGACGAGAACAGACCGCGCTGGCTTGAGTCTGCCAACACAAAAATTGTCAGCTGGCCCATCTACAGTATTGTTTCTTTAAAAGTTAGCCTGTCACACATCCTCATTGCACTGTCCTCAAGCAGTTTAACATTTCAGGATTTCAGTACTTCTGAACATTTGCAGATGGAGGAAAAATAACAAGTTGCTACATCACTCAAAAAAGAAGCAGACGGCAGCAGTGTGTCTAATTGAAATGCTACACGTGTGCATCAGTTCTCCTCACCCTGTTGAGTATATATATATATATATATATATATATATATATATGTATATACATGTATATACACACACATACATTTCACACACGCTCAGTCAGACTGGGCCTAGAACAACCAGTTTCCCAAGTGAGAGGAAGGCTGGTCTTCATACTCCCTGCTGTATGCTGCAAGTGTTTGTTTCCTTATTGGACATTTCCTGGCTGTCATCTTTACACAGCTTCTGGCACAGGGGCAAGCCTTAAAAGGCATAATGGACATTATGAAACCTTTGTGCAGTCAAACTGGGAGCACAACAAAATATCAATAGTATGTAGGGTTATTTTAGGACAGACAACATTTGGGTTAAGTGATCTATAAAGCTAGACCTTCGTGTTGGGAGAATTATTTTGTCTATTTGGACATTATTGTTATTGGTCTTGCGTAAAAAAAATATTTTAATAAAAAAAATAGTCTTGAACACGTATCCTATATCGGTATGGTACCTATTACGCATATTTTGATACGCATATTCGGACTAACTTCGTAACATCGTCGCTGTCTCAGTAATTTTCCTCTGCCCTATAACTAATGGCCTTAGCTGGAAGAGTCTAAACGACTGCTGATATTTGCCCAGTTTTGTCACATTACATCCAGCAACTCCGAGTCACAAGTAAATAACATCACGTCAACAACATAGCAAAAGACGTGGAACAACAAATGCGCCCAAACTGGTTAAAAAAGTGCAACCCACGGCCTGTTTGGCAGTTCAAAGTAGCGGGGTCATGCATTACAGCGCATTAATGGATGCATGCATAGCTGCGTTGTTTAATATTCCACTAGAAGCTGTTGACAGGATGTTACAAACTGCTACAAAAACACTGTTTTCGGATCGACGGCGATCGAGTGACAAGAGATCACGAAACATGACAGCGAAACAAAACGAAACAACAAGCTAGCACTGCCTTTGTGCAAACACGATAGCCCGTTGCTACTTAGACTGGCCATCAACTGAACTGACAGCTGACATTTGGCTTCCAATTCACGGCATCACTGAACTTGACATCCATTTTTTTACTTGAACAAACGCTAGCTCGACACGGCCAAAATAATCCACTTCTCGGGGGGGAAAGAACGCACTTTGGGGAGAATGCGAGCGGGTCGTGCACTTGGGTGAGCTGGTGTACCTTCCTTGCTCTTTGCGGTCGCCGTTATTTGTGGTTGAGAAATCGTTGGGGACGAGGAGAGCTGCGACCAAGATGGCGTCGCCTCCAAACTTCCACCACCACTTCCACTGTTACTTTGGACACTCATGAAGCCACTTTACCGCCGTGAGGAGCCAGCGTACACACTGCCGTTCGCGGAAATCCCGAACTCGCGTTCATGGTTCTTGACACCTGCCGTCGCCAAACGGGCCGGTAAACGTGAGTGACTCCGTGGCTGTCGGAGTCGCTAGACGTCTCGCATTTTGTGCTCCGTGCGGGTCCTGCGGAGGAGCGGCTTCTTTCGAGACTCGTTGAAACCGATCCAACGTAACCTTTGCATGATGACCGCACGCGCGCCTGTCAGCATCCAGTTCGCGAGCGGAGCTTTGATTCTGGTAGGCGAGGCTATCGCGAGGCTCGCGCGCGCCTAGCTGCGCGGTGGGGGGATGGCGTGACACCGAAACAGACACTGATCTGGGATCATTTTACCCTCCTCCAAAGTAGCCCGAGGTTCACCGGAAGGCGCTGCTCAGCGTCGACCTGAGAACAGCTCCTTGTTTTGGTGAAAACAACAAGCACCCAAAAAAAAATGGCCGAAAGTTCGTGTCTGCTTAGATAGAAGGAAGGGAAAGATAAACGCGCAGTAGGCTTTATGTACACACATAGTCATACAAACTGACTTTATGTTCGTAGATATGCGCACTACTGTAAGTAGTACGTACAGTGTGCCAGTTTAATTTGGCAGCAGGGAGTGAGCGTGTGGGTCTGTGTGATGACTGAGTAAATGTGTTACAGTAGGCAGGGCTGTGGTCTTGATATACTGTTGTTTCAGTTTTGAACTAAAAGTTGCGGGGAGGAGGAGGGAAGGAAGGTATGGGGGGGTGCAGGTGGTGGGAGGATAGTGATGTGGTCTGGGCTATAAGGTCTTTTGTTCCAAAATTGGTGCAGTGCATCAAAATGCCTTTGCTGTGTTGTAAGGCAGCACACACACACAAAACTCTCTAACATTTAACTGTCTGGCCTACATCTCCCTCGGATTCCTGTCTAATGCATTTATGTAACCTCGACATGTGCAGCTGGGAGTCAACGACTGTGCGGGGAAGCTTCCTAATCCCTAATATTTTTAGTGTTTTTAATCTTACGGGTTCAGATAAACATTCAAAGTGATAGTAAACACACCGCAAAACGGATTTTGTGTCTGTCAAACCCAGCTTCCCCTTGCAGTCATATTGCATCAGGCAACAGACGGAGCCACAAATGATCATACTGCACCTCATATGCACCTGCCCATGGTAACCTGATTTTTTTTTTGTCACATGGTTTCCATGGTAACAGAGCAATCGTCTTGACAGGCAATCAGGAGGTTGTATAAGCAGTGTACTACATTACGCTACACTATGTATGTACACACACACACACACACACACACACACACACACACACACACACACACACACACACACACACACACACACAGAGTCACTCAGCCGTTATGATGTAATTCCAGGTATGAAACTGGAGTTGTGTTATGAGGAAAGGGCTGACGGCAAGCTGATATTCAAGAAGCAGCCACGACATTCCAGGAGCATCAAATGCCTGATGGAAAACCGGGAGTGTTGGCTGACATTTTACAAACTGCCTCCGGCTTGCCTATACTGCACACAGCTAAGGCCTGCAACAATAATGGCCTTTCAGAAAATAAGAAAAGTTTGACAAAGCAGAGGAAGTGAAGCGGAAAAGAAGTAGCCGCACAGTTGCAAAGGTATGACTTTTTATAACAGCTCTGGCATCCAACAGTCCAACTGTTAAAAAAAAAAAAAAATAAAACAAACAATTTTCTGTTTAAAGTATTTCAATTATTTTCAAGCATAGAAAAACTCGATCAATTATAAGAAAACAAAGAAACATTTAAAATACCTTGATACACGTTCAAAGTCCAGATAAAAGTAAGACAATTTAGGATGCAGTCCATGCCAACATCCTTCTTTCCTTATATCATTTTATGATATATGAATCAATCCAGTAATAAAAAAGCAGGTAGACTTGGAATAAAAATTAATGTACCTATGTAGTTTAAAAAATATTGAAATATAGTATTAGTAAATATATGCATCTGCAGTTATGTAGCATACTGTAGGCGACTACTTAATAAGGCTAAAAGTAGTAACAAATATGCTCATCAGAATATTTACAAGACAATCAAGAATCCTTCTGAAAAGGGAAAAACTTTCAAATCTCGCATCGTATGAAGATGATCATACCTCATGGACTAAAATGATTAGTTTAACTACAGATTCAAGAGACATTAGAAATAGTAAAAAAGTAATAGTAGAATCATATGAATAAAGTTTACTCTATAATACAATCTCAAATGAACAACATCACACAACATTATTATAACCAGTTATTATTTATTTAACATTAAATAAGCCAAAATGCAGTGTGTGGAAACACTAAGCACACCCTTACTGCTTTTATAGGAATTAAGAGGGTAAGTAGCAGCTAAGTGCTGCTAATAAAATGTACTTGATTCCTCAGAAAGTGCTGGCACCTCTGTAGAAAACACCTCATACCAACTGTGATGCACGGTGGAGGAGGGGTGATGATTTGGGCTTTACATCATGAGCTCATCTGTATACCAAAGTATTCTAGAGTCAGATGTGTGGCCTTATGTCCGACATCTAAAGCTTAGCCAAAACTGGGTCACGCAGCAGGACAATGATCCCAAGTATAGCAACAAATCTACCACAGAACCACTGAAGAAAGAAAAGAATTAAGGTGTAGCAATGGCCCAGTCGAAGTGCAGACCTCAGCCTGATTGAAATGTTGTGGCGGGACTCTGAGGTGTGCATAAATGACTGCTTGAAAACTTTACTGAGCTGAAGTAATGCTTTAAAAAAAGAGTGAAGCAAAGTTCCTCTACAGTGATGTGAAAAACTGATAAAATAATATGGAATACGATTACTTTGGGTTATTAAGTTATTGGTAGTGTTGTTATACAAGTTACTGAATCACAGGCTGTCATAGTTTTTCATGCACTGCTTCTGCATTTAGCTTTTTGTTAAATAATAATAGTAATAATAATGACACAGTATAATATGTCATTATTACCTAACCATACTGACCTAACTTTAAGACCTAGCAAGGACTGAATGTCTCGATCAGTAAAGAATAGTTTATCAGTTAGTTTTTTCCCTCCCTTAACAACAATCTGGTCTATTTTAGGCCACAGGCTTATTATAATGTTCTGGTTTGTTGCATAAAACACTACAAAGCATGTGAAGATTAACAGTTTGTTAACATGAATTTCACATATCCTAAACGTATTAATGAAAATGGAAAATACTTCCATGCACAAGGGTTCCTGTTTGTGAAAAGGGAGCTGCGTTTTAATGCAAGTGCACATATTTCTTGGTGAAAAGTGGGTTTTTAAAAATGTTTTATTTTGAAACTGATGGGAATGTGCGCTAAAAAAAAGCTGTGTTTTAAAATGCAAGACATAAGAAGCAGCAGGGAAATGTAATCAGTGTTTTGTGAATTGCAAAATTTACTGTTAAATGTTAATCATTGTAGGAATAGGACACAGTTGGACGTCATAGTTTAATGCCATGACAGTTACATGAATGTCAGAGGAAGTCGTGGACATGCAACCGTTTCTTCAGAAAACAGAATTTTACTGCATTTAAGGCGATAACAATGGAAATATTACAGTTTGAATGCTTGTTCCTTAGAAAGAATTGTAAATGCTAAAATCTAAATGTACAAATTGATGAGTTTGTATTTTTAAGGATACAAATACATTCCTATAGAGACATTGGGCAGGAGTACATATAATCCACAAAGGTTAAGTCTATACTTCCGCCAGTGAAACCTTAAGAAAATATGCTCTTCCTGTGATTAAGGGGGGCCTGCCTTGCCTTTTCATACATGCTGACGTAGGATCTGAGGAGGTCTTCGATCGTGTGGGCCTGAAAAAGAAAATAATGATTCTTTTTGTGCAAATCTTTCACGTCATATTTTATTCTCCTTAACATTTATTGGCATTCATTCTAAAGGAAATTCTGTGTTTTGTCATGCATCAAAATACATTCAAAGCCCGTCACTCACATTTGGGGTTTCACAGACAAAGGTGATGCCCCTGAACATGGTGCCGATGGTCATCTGGAAGGAGTTGCCTTTGCTGAAATATTCTGTGATGCGGCTGAACTCGTGCATTATCATTGTGTCCTAAAAGAGTTTCAAGTAATTGCAATGTTATTTGCAAATAAGCACAAATGACCTTAGGCTACTGTAAAAATATAAATATATTGTGCTTTTTATTGAACATACCTTTGTTTCTGGGTCTACTAAGCGAACCCCTTGCTTATTGATGCCGATCAGAAGTATAGCTGGGTAGCTAGATTCACATGTTTGCTGCAAATGAAACAACGTAACATCAGTTTCCTCAAATTCTTGCGGGCCAGTGTGTCTGTCACTTACTCCAGCTAACTCACTTTAACTTCAAAGAAGGTACAGCCAAAGGTTGGCCAACTTGAAATGATTTTTAGGAAGTCGATTTTGGCTTCGTCCACTGTGATGCCACTCTGCTGCTTGTATGAGGAGATGATGTGCTGCAAGAAAAACAATGAAGCATAAAATAGCCTTACACCGGAGCTCCAATCCCATCTTCTGAGACATGAAATAGACCATTTGGGGGGTGCTTCTGTACAATTTGTTCTTTACCTTCTTCCATTCATCAGGGGACATGATCTTTTGCTGGTCAGCAGGAACCAGGTCCTTCAACATTTTGGGGATCATGACGAACTGTGACATGTCTGATTCTACTTTGACTCTGAATAGGAGCCCACCCAGAGTAATCATGTCTTCTTTGGTGCAGTCGTGGTATCCCCGCAGGTACTTCGATCGTTCCTGCAAAGAAGCAAATTCGAGGTAAGATATCGTGACAATTATTCATCTTAAACATGAAAAGAATCTCAGTGAATAAAGAGAGTGGTTGTAATATAGATACCTGTGGGAAATGGAAAGTGAGATCTGCTTTCACATCTTTCCCCGGGTTCACATTGAACCAGAGCTTCCTCTTAAAGAGCACCAAGGAAGGTAAATTGGTCTGAGTGACTAAAAAAAGTGAGATTTACACTGATTAGATCTGTCAAGGCAAAGACATGCATAAAAAAAAAGTGACCGCAGTTGGTTTACTCCATTACCTTCTTTCCCCTTTTTTCTTTTTTTGGGGACGTCTGAGGTTATCTTTAGACTGTCAAAGAAATATTTATCCTCCTCCATGCTCACCGTCTAAGAATTGAAACCAAAAAAGCTTCGTCACATAAAGGAAAAAGATGTATTTGTTACATATGGACTGTATTGTGATATTGTGCATAGCATTTTTGTCTTTTCTATCAGATCACTGTGCAAGCTAATGTCTGATCGAAAACACTGAACTGATAGTGTTAGGTCACACCACCTTGGTTAGTGTTTTCAGGTACAGGCCGTATCCTTCAGGTGAGTACAGAATGAGCTGAGAGGCGATGCTGATGCACATGTCTCCAATTGTGGTTGTTGATGTCACCTCGACTATCTGCGCCACAGCAAGGACAAGAAATCATGATAACATTAAATCGACATTTAATGGCAAAACTGATTCTTAATCTCTCTCTTATGGTTAATACAACTCCAATGCCAAGAAACCTGTGACACTATGTTAAATGTGTCACAGCATTGATGAGCCAAATGTTTTTAATTTGGAAAGGTCTGGACATCAGGTAGTTCAGCACCTGGACTCCTCTACTACTAAGCAATCCTGTTGTAAAAGCTTCAGTATGCAATTTTACATTGTCTTGCCGAAATATGCACAGACTTCCTTGGACGACACGTCATCTGGATGGGAGCATATGTTGCTCTAAAACCTGCATTGGTCGTTTCTTTTCAGATATGCAAGCTGCCAATTCCCTGTGGCATCAGAGATCCAGGCTTTTTTTTTTTTGCCTTAGTCCATTTTAAGAGAGCTTTATCCCAAAGAAAAAGAAGGCAGCATATCTGGAACATGGGATATTTGGTCTTCCCAGTTTTACATTCAGGAATAATATTCTGAAAATTTCCCACAATTTGCAAATGCAATGTTTTGCAGATGGTGAACCTCTCAGCTTTACTTCTGAGAAGCTCCGCCCCTCTAAGATGTTCTTTTTATACCCAGTCATGTTATTGATCTATTGCCACATAACCTAAACAGTGCAATAATATTCCTGCAAAGGTTTCTTTTTAGGTTTTCTAGCCTTTGCCAATTTTTTTGAGCTATGTTGCTTTGATCCAAATCAAAATGACTGAATATATTTCATCAAATAGCAAAATTTAACCCTTTCATGCAGAATTATGACAACCTCGATCAGGATTTTTTATTCATCTTTAGGCTTGAAAAGATGAATAACAATGCTTAAGAAAAAATCATGATCAAGGTTGTCATAATTCATGCATGAAAGGGTTAAATAACAATAATTACAATGAAACACATCATACATCTATAGTAATATTAAATGACCAGTGGGTGGCAGGGTATGGACACATCAGTGTCCGATGTAGTGGTTTATGTGCAAGTATATCATCAACACTGACACAAACTCAAGAAAACAGCATTTGGATAGCTGTCCACTGTAGTGACCACTATGCGTCAAAGGGGTAAACATTCAAGTTTAAACATTCAACATGATTTCATGTTCTATTGTGAATAAAATAGGGATTTATGAGTTGTGCAAATGATTGCATTTTTTAAAATTATCATTAAATCCAAAAATCGATCGAATGCAGGTTCTTACATCAGTTGTATCATCTGGGAAGTGGACTTTCTGGAAGATCTTAGGGCTGTTCTGTTGGATAGCGTCCACTTCTACGAAATGGGGAGGAAGATTCCTGGGCTTCTTACTGAGTATACAAAACAAATGAAGTTACACACACAAAAATATATTTATGTGGAATTTCAGATCACTAAGTTACCATACCGGTGTTATCGTGTGGATATGTTTTTAAAAAAAAAAATTAAACTCAGTAAACTCAGCTGATAAACTTTTTTGTGGTTTCTAAAGTGTGCGTCTGACAAATCAGTGCACTGTGGTAATTTTGGGGGCCAGCATTTACCAGAGAGTAGATTCTGTCAGTTAGATTTTCATCACAATTTAATACCAGTTTTAAAGCAATGCTATTTCTAAAATACGGACAACCACATTTTGAAGTATCAAAATAATCAGTAATTCTAATCTTCTCAGGATTTTTGTTTCTAAATAGTGTTCGTATCGCCAGGCTGACCTGCAGATCTCCTGCAGCCTCTCCAGGCAAAGAGCAGCCAGTGGGTATCTGGGCCGCGACTCCAGGAAGCACTGTGTGTGTTTCAATAAATCCCAGCTGGGTGGGAACAAGCCTGAACACAGCCACATCAGCTGCCACCCACGCTCCATACTCAAACTGAAGTGAGGGGAAGAAAGAGAAAACGATATGATGGAAATGGATTTTTTGTGATTATTGTTTTGGTGTCTTTCCGACACAGTGAAGCACACTGGAGAACCTGTTGCTGTTGGCGGTCATCTGTCTCATGATCTGGCAGTAAATTTCATCGCGCAGTTCTTCATGCTTTGTGGCTGGACCAAAGATCTGGTCGGTCAACTCTACGGGACTGCGGACATGTTTGATGGGGTAGTCGCCCATGTACTTCAGGATGGGTAGAGGCTAACGTTAAGGACTCACTCAAACGACATTAAAATTAGACATGGCTCTTTCCTCTTTAGATTACAGACAAACTGCTGAAGAATTTGATACCATACTTTCAAATATCTGCCTATGTGAACCAACAGTATGGATGCTAGTTAAACTGTGGTTTAGTCATAAGAAAACATCTCAGCAATCCATAAATGCAGGTACCAGTTCATGTGTTTTTTAAAAGGATATCAGTGAAGGCACTGCAGGCCAGGTTGCTGAGCTCAGAGTTGTTGACCAGCACCTTCAGGAGTGGTTGCTTGAGAGGCTCTCTGGAAATGACCCACAGTTTCTCTCTGTTGCCTCCTTTGTATCCTTGCCGACCGCCACTCACAGATCTGCGAGGGACAAAGAGCTTAAATATCATCTGCACGAGTGCTGTTCGATTTGCCAAATGAAGAGTCAAACATGAATGCCACATTTTTGAGAAGTGGCGTTTAGCTAAAAATACAAGAGCCTCAGTATTACCTGAAATTCTCAAGGGCAAACTCTTTCAAAGAGACAGGGGCCACTGTTTCTTCTCCTTGAACGGGGTTAAGAACTAGTGAAGCTCTCCTCTTATCCTGCTTTGGATTGAGTTGTTCCTGAAGGGTCAGAAGCAATTTGCCAGATAAACTACAAGAGGGCGTTATGTGATGTGAACTAACAGAACTTGTGCATCTCTCACTGCATAGACTTAGAAGCGCACGATGAAAAATCTTCATGTCTGTAAAGATTTTCTGTTCTTTAGTAAAGTCTTTACCATTAAAACACCATTAAAAAATGAAATCAGTGATTTGCCTATACCTGAGCTCTGATAAACTAGTCATAACTACTCAACATGTAAGGTAAAGTCAACTTTACCAGCATTTCACTAGTGGGCTCGGTAAGAGTTGGCAGGAACAGCAATATTTTCTTATAGACTGCACCAGAGCTGCCAGTGCGCTTGTTGGTGGCGATGAAACAGCTCTCATTAGGGGCACTTTTTTCTTTGTCTACTTGCAGGAGGTCACCTCGCTTACAAACCAGAAACAGCGGGTCATCTGCAGAAGCGTACAGAGACAGACAGACGTGAGTGTTTTGGTGTGCGTGACTGTATTTATGGATACTGAACATGCTGTAGACTCTTACCTGATTTGCTAGAGTCCTGCTGAGCGGTTGCAAACACTGAGCGCTGTCTCAGCCCTTCCACATTGTTCTCTATCAGTGTTACAATTTTCTCAGCTTCAGGAGACTTCAGGACATACTCTCCTGTGATCGTGATCAAGCTAATGGTCTGGGCACTGTCACTAAATGGGTCATAATCATCAGTGTCAGTTTTATTAGATTCTTTTAAAGGCACAATTTAAAAAGCTTTTTAAGAAAGTAAATAGAGCAAATTTACATACACACAGACATAAAAATGTGAGACCGTACCTTTTCTCCTGGACTTTCCTAACTGCTATGTAAGGAATTTCATGAAGTTGCCTATTTCTCTCGTCCATGAAGAAGATGCCAGTCCAGTTTATAGCCACAATAAATCTGCTTTTGGGCAAAGGTGGTCCTGTGGACAGATATGGTGTTGCAGATTTTAAGTAGTGAATTGGAATTCATAAATGCTAGTTAGCAGAAGTAAAGTTTGTAATACAAATGTGTAACACGGCAACATTCACTTGTAAAAGGATTGTATATCCCAGCCTCTGTGTGAAAAAAAGCTGTGCGCAGACTCACCTGACATCATTGTGACTTCAAAAAACTTTGAAAAGTGGATTGCCCACTTCTTGCGTGCGATGTCCACCAGTTCTCCTTTTACCTCATCCGAGTTTTGCCTCCCACTGACATAAGGACCCTACATGAGGTAACGACGATTGTGAGGGTGCCTCTATGAGGCGTTATGTTTTAAAACAATCCATGCTGACCATACATAAAATAGACTGATTTACCTCTTTGTGTGCTGAGCTGATGAACTGGGTCCATCTTGTTTTAGACTTGCTTTCAATAAGCTGGGTGGTGATGCACTCATTAACCACTTTGGTGACGTTCTCAACGCTATACTCGGAGCCAAACATGATGTAATAGTGCATTATTGCCAGCTGGATATAATCATCATCCTGAGTAGATAAAGTACAACTTTATTAGATACAGTTGACAAAATGTTTGGAGAACATCATGATAAAATTTATAGTAGAATAAAAAGTGGACAAATAAGAAATAGTTGACCTCACTAAGTAACTTATTTGAGCTGCAAAATATTTGAAAACTACAAAATGCCTGCTGATATACTGTTTAGCACCACAGTATAGTAAATTTTACATTTACAGTTATCTAGTTTCTTACTCTTAATTTGTTCATTTAAGAATCACAATTATTGCATTTACTCTAAAAACACAATGGATGAAAAAATAAATAAATAAAACTTTACTGATAGATTTTCTTGTTTTCCAAATCCTTCCTTGTTCTTTAGTGAGACACAGGCAATAGAAACTAGCCGTGAACAAACATCTACAAATTTCAGGCTAAGCTAGTAGGAAATGGTTGCCCGTCTGACAGCCACAAAGCAATGTAAGCAGTCAGCTATTAACATCGGCTTTCACTTTCCTAGTCGTTATATTTTTCCAACTCTTTGGCCGTTACATACATCCCACCATGTATCCAAGCTAGTTGTTCACTTTCTTCTTCTGTCTGCCATTTGCTTAAACATTAGCTAAGCTAAAGCCAAGCTAAGATGTCTTATAAGGCTTACAGGAGCTGCAAGATTGAATGAGAGGTTTCTGTGGGTTTGTCACTTGTTCTATTGTTACAATATAAATCCTGATTAAAGAAGGATATTAAAATAATTATTCATGAGTTACTTCTCAGACTGCAGCAGTTTTACTGGCTTTAACTGTTTTACGTGATAAGGCAGCTAGCTTATCACTGGAAGAGACTGCAGTCCTTTACAAAACCTTGCCATGAAAATGAAGGCATTTTTATTTTATTTTGAAAGGGGAGTGCCTTGGAGGCTTTTTTATATTTAAGGTCTTTTAAGCGTTGGCCCAGCAACAATTAGTGCCCCTTTTGTGCTTTATTTTGTACATAAGATTAAAATACACCAGAAAAGTAGATGTGCATACTGCGATTTTGGAACTTAATAGCCTGAGTGTCATGAGGGGTGACTGTAAATAAAATGTATTATTATTATTATTATTATTATTATTATTATTATTGTTATTATTACACACTGTTTTCTGTAATATTTCAGGAAAAAAGAAAAAGCCTTACCTTATCAGCAACGTACTCTCCTGCCTTGATTCCTTTGATGATCTGCCTGTAGATAAGATCTGTGCTGACTTCATCTAGTTTACTTTCGTGCCAGGGTGTGAACAGTTCCTTGCGGAGGGACAGCGACCATGGGGTATCCTTCTCCAGTCTGCCTTGCCTCCTCATCTCTTCCTCACACTGAGATATTGCATCTAGAACGTGTGCCCCAGAGTTCCCCAGAGACCACATCTGGTGACGAGAAGTCAGCAGAGTTTGAATGAGTGTGGCAAACTGCAAATCTTTCTGCACTGGACTAGTCTGAACCTACAGTCAGAAGATACAGAGTACCCAAGCCTTGATGTAGAATCAGAAGCTTTCACTGACCTTGTCATAGAGCCTAATGTACAGGGAGAATCCGTAGGTGTCTTTGAGACCGATGTCATTGGCCACATCTTGGCAGACTTCCTCAGATGTGGAGGACGAGTTCAGTTGTATTTCAATATTTCGACCATCCTGTATTGCCACAGTCGTATCAATGGGTTTCCTGGTCCTGGCAGCCTTTCAGTGCAGGGTAAGAAAGAAGAAAAAAATCAGTTGTTTCCAACCACAATTCAAATTTTGCTGCTGCTGGCCAAAAGTTAAAACTAAATAAACAGTGACCTCAGCACCATATTGGAGCACCTTCTGCTTTTTACCTGTAGCTCTATCCAGCAGGGCAACTCTTTTCTTGGTCCATTGGCTACGATACGTTTCAGGCGCTCAGTGCAATACCCCCTGTAGTCATATGGCCCTCTGCGCAGAAAGTTCTCTAAATACTGTGAAGCACAGAACAGGACACAGTAAGCAACACGATAATACCTCGGCTAAATTCAACTAAAGTGGCATGACAAGGATTAACATGAAGTTTGAGGCAGGATTAATAAAATGACTTCATGTAGACTGACCTTCCTAAAGAGGTCTGTTGGAGGGAAAATCCCCAGACAGATGGAGAGAAGAATCCACCCTTGCATACGATTCCTCCTGTCATTGTTTTTCAACAGCTGTTTACAGATCTGACAATAGATCTCATCCCTGCACAGAGAGAGAACCAAAAAAATGGAAAAAGTAGGTAACATCTTAAAATACAGCCCATAACCACAGTTCCCTGTAATTAAATGGAATTGTAGTTATTATAATCGAAATGACAATGTAATCATATTTATCTACAAATACTTACATTTAAGTACTGCATATGTAATTTTAATTGATGTCTAAGTAATTTTAGGCAGCCTGTGTAAATCCCAGAAAGTTGACTCGTTTTCAGTGGGAGAAACCTTTCATCACACATCCAAGTAAATACGGCCCACAGCCCAAAAACTATAGCCCGTCTAGTAAGATGAGAAAATTATTGTTTTTCTGCCAAATTAGCATACAATTTCACACTACTTAAAATTACTTACACACATTTACCTACAGTTATTTACAGATATATCATATTGTTCATTCTTCAAAATACTTGTAAGGCAGCATTTACCATATGCCGTGTTTTGACAGAGCATAGCCGATGATGATGTGAATTTTTTCCAAGTCTGAAAGTGGCCTTTGCAGCGTGGTACCCTCTCCAATCATAACATCCTCTTCTCCTGTCAAGTTTTCTGGCTGGTTACAATGACAATAATACAAATAATAGTGATAATAATAACAATTGCCACAGAGTGTGTGTTATGAACCAGTGACAGAAAAAAAAGACAGAATGAAGAGTATTATAATCACCTCCTCGGGGATAGAAGAGGCTCTTCTGTCAAACTTTTTCTTGTTCTTCCTCAGTATTTTCTGTCCGAGAATGACATCATTACTAGAGGTTAAATAGTTAGATTGTTGTTTTTTTTCAGTGTAATAATAAGATATATGTAATAGTTTACCTGGTCCAGTCCCACCAAGTTGCTCAGCCTCCTGCCCTGCCTGCTGGGTAGAGCCTGGGGCGTGTTGCTTGATGCCACTGATATGGCATCTGAGGATTTGGGTTCTGGTATATCCCCCATGAAGCGCAAAATGATCCACCATATAGTCAGACATGCCTGGAGGTGAGGAGAGGAATGAGAAACTGTTTGTGAGGAGAGAAATCTCTTGGGTTAATAGTGATACGGCTGTGACTCGTTCCCGTCTGACTTCTCACCAGTGTGTCACCCTCATCGTCGTGATGCAGAAGAGACTTCTTGAGTCGGTAGGGTATGTGCGTGTGGCTGGCGCTGTCCTGGAAGTAACGCTGGCTGAACCTGTAGAATGAAAACTCATCACCGTCGTCCTCAAAGTCATCGGTCTCCTCCTCCTTATCTTCATCCACCGAAGGGGTCGGGGATATCGAGTTTGATGGTGGGGTGACTATCAACTCTGGCTCCAAGAGCTCAGAGATTATCTTTACAGGCTCTGGACTGCTGTGACTCGTCTTTGGAGGGAAAAGAGAATTTATACCAGATCTTAAACGCACACACTCAATGAAGAAAAAACTAGGACATGTTAACATGACAGAATTAGAATCAGCTAACCTCAGATTCTGAAGTTTCTTCGTCTGCTACATTGACTGAAGGCGTGACGGGAAGATCTTCGTCGTCTGAATCGTGCTCTGACTCTGACTTGGTTTCATTGTCCAGTATCTGTGAGACCTCCTCCAGCTGTTTTAAAACTAAAGCCTTCGAGACAAAAGAGACAAAAAAGGTTTGAAAGTAGGCTCCTTTTCAGAGTGCAACTTGTGCAACTTTACCTTCCAAGATGCTGAGCACTCACCGTGTTCATCATGGACTCAACTTCCCTTCTGGCCAGCACTCCTCGCCTTTGCGCCTGCAGCCGTGTGACTGCCTCTCTCTTTTTCTTCAAGTCCTTCCTCGCCACATAGCCTCGTACCTAAACCCGATCAATCAGTGCAATTTAAAGCAAATTATTTAAGAAATAACAAAAATATCAGTAATTAATTAAATACACAACAACCGATATGTAACGTAGATTTTGATAAGATTTGATAAAATATCCTAATTTCACTATAAAATGCTTAAAATTTGATCAAATACAGCAATATTTTCCAATATTCCAAACAATAAAAAACAACTACTTGTAACATATTGCACTAAACAGTTCCTACATGAGAGTACATGCCTGTGCTTGTATGACGACTGCTGCTTCTCGCTGCTTTTGGTACTTTGCCTGGAGTTTCCGGCTACGGATTAGTGCTGCCAGCCGCTCAAAGCCGCGCTGAACCTGGTCAGACCGAAAGAGGGAAGCAAACCTGAGGTGAGTCCTCCCTAAACATCAAGGCAGCTACAAGCTCTGACTTCTATAAAAAGTTATTGAACCTTTGTTTTCATGTAGGCTCTCCAGGACCGCTGTAGCACCACGGCTGCCGAACGCTTCCTCAGAAAAGACTTTCTAAAAGAGATTTGAAGCAAAGAACTTAAGTTATTAAAAAGGTGTATTTTTAAGCCTTCATATGTGCAGTCCTTTCCTCTTATGTGTCCCCTCTGCACTGGATATGAATGTGTAGGATATCCTGCACCTGTCTCTCTGTCCAAGCATGACTCTCTGGATCACCAAAGCTACCCTGCTGAGCTCTTGTTCCCGCCGCTTTTCAAGAATAGAATCGTGAACATCCTGAAATAAAGAGAATTTCTTTTAAAAGACTTTCTGATATTGAAGAAAACTTCAATTGTTAATCATATTTCAAAAATGAATCCACATTAATGTGAATCCACATTAATGTAGATTCATTTTCTGCAATCATTCAAGAGAGATGTAATGTCTCTTTGATTTAGTGTTTCACTATGTCATGGCCACAATCATCTAAGGGGCGATCGTGGCTCAAGAGTTTGCAGTTTGTCTTGTAATCGGAAGGTTGCCGGTTCGAGTCCCGGCTCGGACAGTCTTGGTCGTTGTGTCCTTGGGTAAGACACTTCACCCATTGCCTACTGGTGGTGGTCAGAGGACCCGGTGGCGCCAGTGTCCGGCAGCCTCGCCTCTGTCAGTGCACCCCAGGCTACATTGTAGCTGTGGTTTCAATGTAGCTTGCCATCACCAGTATGTGGATGACTGAATGTGTAAAGCACTTTGGGGTCCTTAGGGACTAGTAAAGTGCTTTACAAATACAGGCCATTTACCATCTTGTGCCTTGAGAAAAAGCTACAATACAACATGGTTAGAAGTTTTCGGCACCTTTAGGAAAACTTTGGTATTGCCTATTTTCCATTCGCCTTCCCTTTCGATCACCGCCTCACAGATGGCTTTACAACAGGCCGCAGCAGACTCCTGGAGAGACCGTAAAGAATATATCAGTTAAGAACTGATGAGAGAACCCAATAAAAGACTCATTTTCACATCTTGGGTTCCAAAAACAGGATGCATCATGACTTAACGGTATTGGGGTTGCAGACGGTTGTCTTCAGGAGCACCCTGTAGCGCTTTAAGAAGTCGTCGAACGTGTGTCGAATGGGAAATCCCAGCTTCCGAATACGGATGGTGTCGATCATGCCGGAGTATCTCAGCTGACGCATACACAGCTCTCTGTCAAACACCTAGAAGAGAACAAATTAAAGTGGTGATGAATATTCTCTTAACACAACAACTATCCAACCTTTTTATTTTTCAGGCTGGACTATGGGGTGATTTCCACATCTACAGTAAATGTCAGCAGTTCATTACTCTAAGCTTGATTTGAGTGTGTACCCAATCAAATGATCATCCAAGCCGAATTTGGCACATGTGAATATATCCGTGTGCCTGATTTTGATTCTATCAAATTTCAAATCTACCCAATGTTTATTCTCACTTTTTTATTTTTTACAACAGCTATTAACCTCAGAGAGGCTGGAAGAAAAGTAAAATACCTCTGAGGTATTCCATCTCAAAAATGTTTTCAAATTTTATTTTAACATTTTTTATGGTCCCGAGTTTGAACATATATAATGATTGCTGTGAAATTTTTTGCTCAAATACTTTTCAAGATCTATTTTTTTGAAAAATGGCCCGTCGACCCACCGGATATTTTTTCACACTTTGAAATATGTGGAAATTTTTGAACATGAATATCTAAAAATCTATTGAAGATAAAACCCTTGAAAATTCAGTGCTTTTTTCATAGCAATCCTTACATATGCTCAAACGTTGGCTCATTAGATTTTTAGGTAAATTAGGGAAGGTCAAGCAGAAAATGTACAAAGCATTTGCTGATTTGAGACTTAATGACCCATTTGAATTTGAAGTGGTCCTGTGTGGACCACGATCACCAAGTAAGTGCCAGTCCTGCCAGCAGGTGCTTGGATTTCACAGGAGAACTGTGACACGTGGCACTGTGGACTAACAACGCTTTGCTACAATATTGGTCAGGGAGTTCAGAATGTGTGAACTTTTCATGACTTCTAGTCTAAATCCAAAGGGTGAGAAAAGCTCAACAGATGCTAGCGCAGCATTGTACTTTACTCTCTGTGATATCAGGTGATATTTAACAGGAAATTGGCTCCGTTGGTTTATGGCACAAAACAGAATGAGCTCTATTGCAAATGGTGGCAGTAAACATAAAAAAACAAAACAAAACAAAAAACACAGCAACATCCTTATTATTTCGGGAAATGACAGGATTTAAAGGAAATGTCTTAATTTCAGCAAACATTAGTTTGCTGAAATACACTAGTTTATCACAAGCTTCCCCCTCATTTCCCTTTCTTAGCATACATGATTGCTCAGTTTACACAGCAACTGTATGGTGTTGCCATGGCGGCAGAAGCAGTTGCTCATTCACCTCAGATTGCTTGCCATTGTTGGGTTTGAAACAGCGGATGAAGAAAGGCTGGCAGGCAGACAGAGCCTTCATTAGGGAGTCCAGAGACTGCCGGAATTGGCCGCTCAGTGTCGGCACTTGTTTGCGAGTGTCAGCCAATCCCTGTGAGGATGACATGTGACAGAAGGAAAAACTCAAAAATGAAGTCATTGATACACCTGATCAAATAAACATTGGCAGCGTTATGAAACTAAATGACACAGGAACATTTATTGCAGTTTGCCCAAGGATCAGACATGACTTTATCCTTTCATACCCGCAGAGAGTTGCTTGGGGTCATGATGAACTTTTTATTTTTAACAGCCTTAATCCCATTGGTTGACAGTTCAGACTCAAATATGTCACGCAGTAGCTTATTGGCAGACATGTCGAGCATCTTAATGATGTCCGAACTGACAGCATCCCTGTTCTTTTCCAAGAAACCTGAGGAAGGAGAAAAAAGGCAACAACAAAGTATTACTGCGCTCATGAGCACCTTGCGTTGGCTGAGGTTTTAATATTTGCTGTTTGCTTGCCTACCATTGGAGTCGTACTGAACCAGGCCAGCGAAGTGACAAATCCCAAAGTTTGTGTCACGTTCACTCCTGGAGGCGATGTAGTTCTTGTGTCCTTTGTGGTGCTGGTTCAACTTCTCTAGCATCGTCGCGTCTGTACCCTAAGGCCAACCAAGTGATTCTTTTGAATAAAAAAGCTTCTGCAGCAGGGCAGAACCTTAAATAAGAAACCTCAGCAGAAGCATACCTTTGGAAAGTGGCTCTCTTCATCAACAAGAGCCAGCACATTACATTGTATTCCAGCTAGAAGGTCGAGAATCTTCTGATTGTCGCTAAAGTTGATGTTATCCCACATGACGCCCTGCTTCATGTACTCCTTCTGCTCGAGCTTGAAGATGTGGGCCACGAAGAACTGCTGCAGCTTCTCGTTGGCAAAGTTAATGCAAAGCTGCTCAAAACTGTAAAATAAACGATGGCTTGTAAATAATGATAACTGTGAAAATTAGATGTCTTAGTACAGCGGTCTCCAACCTTTTTTGCGCCACGGACCGGTTTATGCCCGACAATATTTTCATGGACCGGCCTTTAAGGTACCGAAAAAAAGAAAATTTATTCATAACACACGTGAAAAGACCCAGGAAAACCGAGTAAACGCTAAAAACGATAACAAAATAACGCTGAAAACCGATAAAAAAAATCCTGAAAACTATACATTTCACACCTGAGCCTCAACTCTCGCGGCCCGGTACCAAACGACTCACAGACCGGTACCGGTCCGAGGCCCGGGGGTTGGGGACCGCTGCCTTAGTGTACCACGAAATGCCAGCTCTGTCTGATCGTCTAATGTTTCATAAATATGTCAGGGCGGCAGTGCTGTGGCTGTGAAAGCTTAAAGATATCTGAGAAATACGTTTGACTCAACTAATCGAATGGGTAAAAATGAAGATACTGGTAATGTACAATCACAGGCCACTTTATTATGTACTTTATTAGGTTCAGCTGCTTGTTTCCTTAAATATCTAATCTATGCTGCTTTGCATCAACAGTTCAGGCTAAGGTTATTGTAGCTGAACAATGCTAAAGTGAAAAAGAGTGCTAGACTTTTTAGTTAACTAAATTAAAAAGATAAACTAGAGTTTAGAAAAAATCAAACTGAAATGATTTTGTGAAAATAAAAAATATATTCTTGTTATCACAACTTGTCTATTAAGGCTTTGACAAAAATGTTTATTGAGACTTTGGAAGTTTATGAGCCTGTGAGTCACCTGCTATCAATTTTTTTTTGTTTCTTAAATTGCGATGTCAGTACTGATTTTGTAAAACCTTGCTTTTGGCATACGCCCTAACTACAATAATAGCTATAAAGAGTAAAACCAACACTGAAACGAATAAAAATTTATAACAACAATAAAAACTAAACTAACATAAACTAAACTTAATTCAAGATGAAAAGTCAAAATGAAAAAAATATCTGATGAAGTACAAAACAGGAATAACAGAAAAAAACCCTCCTGACCTGTTAGTGTTGAAGTTCTCGAAGCCAAAGATGTCAAGCAGGCCGACGGACAGGTAGGCTGATTTGGAGTTGCTGGTCAGCTTCTTGTAGATGACACTGTTGATTTTCTTAACAATCCATATGAACAGCTTATTGTAGATCGCCTGAGAGAACAGAAACCCAGCAGAGTTACATTTTGGTGGAGTTCTGAAACACGCAAACTGTTTATTCTTTTCTATATTTAATTGTTTCTTTTGAGCTCTGCACCTGACCCACATGTTGGTGACGATGCGTGTGGATTTTTACACGTCTTGTACCTTACAATCATAAGAAATCAGTCAATCTACACTGAAGCTCATCAAGGAAAAGTAAGACGAGAGTTTTCTAAAACATGCCGAGTAACTGTAGCAACGCTGTAAGCACCAGTCAAAGGTTGGAAACCATCTCCTGCTCTATCACAGTGAAACTGGAACGCTTCCTCATAAAGTACAGCGTGCAGCATTTACAGGGCCCAGGTTTCTTTCATCCTAAGCCAGGAACCAATAAGGAAGCAGTGATTTAAAATTGCTGGCTCTCCCTCATTACCTTCACAAAGGCGTCTCTGCAGTCAGCTGCCTGTTCACAGCTCAGAGGTTTAGTCACCATTTCGCGGTTGGTCTTAAAGGATCGATGAGTCAGATTGGTCGCCAGGGTGGGCTTCTCCACCTTTAAGCACAAGAAACATAGAAAAAACCTTTACTAGTGCTATTTAATAGCAAAGTAGCTCTTACCTGCTAATAGAGAAGGAGACCCACCTCCAGTAGTGATGCCGCCACATTGAAATGTTCCGATTTGCTGACTTCACTGGTTTCCAGGTTATTTTGAGTGTTGGCTGATGGAAACACAAATTCACACATAAGACACAAACAGCACAATAACAGCTGTAAGGAGTAATCCTGTGAAATGAGGTCAGTGTGAGTTTTAAAAGATATTACAACCAGTCAGGAGATTTAACCAAACCACTTCCTACTACACAAGTACAAGTCACAAATGTATCTAGCTTGGAACATAAAATAATGCTAATGCACAAATCCTACAGATGCATCTAGGGACCAAAAGCTGATGGTGAAATTAATATTCTTTTGGTTCTCTGGTGTCAGTGAAACAAAGAAACTTTCATTCATCCCAAAACAGCTGTTCCAAAGTTCTAACCATCCATTCGCTTCCGCTTATCCTTTCAGGGTCGCTGGAGCCTATCCCAGCTGTCATAGGCCAAGAGGCGGGGTACACCCCGGACAGGTCGCCAGTCTGTCGCAGGGCTAACACACAGGGACAGACAACCATTTGCACTCACATTCACACCTAGTGGTAATTTGGATTATCCAATTAACCTATCCCCACAAGCTGCATGTCTTTGGACGGTGGGAGGAAGCCGGAGTACCCGGGGAGAATCAACGCAAACACATGCAAACTCCACACAGAAAGACCCCGGCCTGATGGTGGAATTGAACTCAGGACCTTCTTGCTGTGCGGCAACAGTGCGAACCACCGTGCTGCCAAAGTTATATGTAAAAATGACCCCATCTCTCAACTTTGTTTGGGAAACGGTGACATGAGCCACACCAATAAACCAATAAATCAACTTCTCCATTTAAAAAAAAAAAAAATTTTCATTGACAAATTCAAAGTGTAGAAATGATTTAGTCTTATGTAATTCAGGTGCTCACTGCTATTCAGTTTCACTGTTGTATAACTAGCTGCCTGTTTATGGAACAATAAATCCGTTCACTCATTTAATAATAGATCTGAACAGACTGCAATCTGCCATAGGTATCATCAGGCCTACTGATGCTCTTATTTATTATATGCTTGTTTTTTGGCACTGAATCAAAATCTAGCATTGATAAAATTAGGAATGGAGATATGTTTGATTAAACGTTAGGCAACACTTGAATAGCTGTTCTGCTGAAATCTGATAGGGAAATGATTTTAAAGATAAACTAAGCTCCATTATGTGCAGGCTAAATCTTTACATAGTTTCTAACTCTGTATCCTCACCCTCAAAGCAGACGTTTCCCAGGTGTAGTATGGCCGCCAGGAGCTTGAAGATTTCATGACAGTCTTTTCCTGAGAAATTCAGCGTTTTTAGGGCGGAATTAATACGACTGTAGTCTTTGGCATCGTCTCGTCCTCCACAAGCAATGCAGTTGCCCTGAAGAGTGAGAGACAAGATTTAGAATAGCTAGGAGAAAGCAGGGGTGTCAAACATAAGGCCTCGGGGCCAGAACAGGCCTTGCAAAGACTCCAATCTGGCCCACAGGACAGCTTTGGAAAATGTGAAGGGGTGCGTAGATTTAAAACTTTTAATTGTATTTTCATAAGTTTTACAGCTTTGCCAATTAATAATTAACAATACTGCAATTTATACTACACACTAAAGTAAATGACTAATAGATTACATGACATACAATTTCTTATTTTTCTACTATCTAGTGTAGAAATGTCTGTTTTGTTTTGTTTTTTACAAAAAAGAAAAAGAAAACTTGCTGTGAATTAATAAAACCTTTAAAACTACAGGACAGTCTGGGCAATGAACTAGCAGAATTTTTTCCATAAATTACACGACATCACAATAACTTCACCAGCAATGCGGGCAGTCACAGCCTTCCTTATTGCAATACCTTGGTAAGGAATTTGTATTCCTTGGCATTCCCGAGGCTCAGGCGTTTTTTCTCCTCTGCTGAGATTCCTGCCAGCAGGCAGTAAAATATGTGGTAATTTCGCTCCTCCAGAGCCTGAGGTTGCAGAGGAGAAAATTAATCATTAGTGTTACAAAATGATAAGCTCACGCAAGTTTTTATGCGGGCTGGGTGGGAACATGTTTACTTTAGCTTCACTCCTCTTGTTGATGGTACTGATAGTGACAATGGCAACAGCAGCACACGAGATTAAGCCAACAACAGCACATCGACTGAAACAAACTCTTCAGACGTAGCGTGTTGTGTTTTTACTGGTTTACTGCACATTCCCGCCCCGTGGAGAGATAACAAAGGTTGTCTTGAACAGAGCTTACTCACCTGACGACAGACACGAGACTTTTCCAGAAGATACTGCTCCACGCGTGCACCCTCAATCACTCCATCCTTGTTGAAGAAGATTTCCAAATATTTCCCAAAGCGGCTGGAGTTGTCATTGCGGATTGTTTTAGCGTTTCCAAAAGCTGAAATGCAAAAAGAAAAAAAAA